GCCGCCGCCCCCTCACCCACCGCCCGGATAAAAAAAAACCGCTTATAACCGCTTTGCAACTGTTTTATTATAATAATAATAATAATAATAATAATAATAATAATAATGATAATAATAATGATAATAATGAATGATCCTTTGCACTTGACGTTGGCTTTCAGTGTCGGGTGGACGGAGGGTGGGTGGGGGGTGGAGTCCGGGTGGGGCGCGCGGGGGGTGGAGTGCGGGTGGGGCGCGGGGGGGGTGGGGGGTGGAGTGCGGGTGGGGCGCGGGGTGGGGTGGGGGTGGAGTGCGGGTGGGCGCGGGGGGGGGGTGTGGGGAAGCCCTTAAAAAAAAGTGCTTCGCGGGATTCGCCGTCAAGTGTAGTGACTGTGCGTCCGGTGGGTCCTTTCGCCCGAGAAGCGCACGGTCTCGCCGGTCGCTCGCGGCGCTGCGACACATCGCATCGCATCAGAGATGCCAACGCGACACATGACTACCCCCCAAGTTTTTTTGGGGGTTTTTTTTTTCTCAATGTCACTTTAACAGAGAGAGAGAGAGAGAGAGTTTGGGGTTTGGCATTAGGTTTGGGGGGTCAAGTGGGGTCCGTCCAATCGGATGGCCTGACTTTCCCCTTAACACGCGAACAGGGGGGTGGGTTGGGTTGGAGGGGGCGAGGGGGTGAAGGGGAAAAAAAAAGAATGAAGACCGGAATTTTTTTAGGGGGGAAAAAAAAAGGGTTCGGTTGTGGGCAGTGGTTAAATGGACGCAGGCGCTGTGCGGGCGCCTCGGACCTGGGGGCCTGGCTGTGGGGGCGGGGCTTAGGACGGGGTCCTTCGAGACCGGGGTATAAAAGAGTCGCCCGACGGCCGCGCGGCCTCAGTGTCGCGGCTCCGGGAGGAGAAGCGGCCGTTGAGGGGGGAGGGGGTCACGCGGCGGCGGCGGCGGCCACGAGGGTGGGAGCTGAGGCGGTTGTTGTTGTTGTTGTTGTGGTGCGGGTCGTTCAAGTCAGCGTAAGGCGAGGCCTGGTTGTGGCTCCTGAGGTGAGGGAGCGGGGAGGAGAGAGGGGGTGAAGGGGGAAAGAGAGAGTGGGGGGGAGGGAGAGAGATATGGGGGAGAGAGGGGTAGAAGGGGGAAATAGAGGGGGAGGAAGGGGGAGAGAGAGAGAGGGTGAAGGGGGGAAAGAGAGAGTGGGGGAGAGAGAGAGGGGTAGAAGAGGGGGTGAAGGGGGGAAAGAGAGGGGAGACGGGGAGATAGAGAGGGGGGAGAGTGGGGAAAAGGGGTGGAAGGGGGGGAAGGGGGAGATAGAGAGGAGTGGGAGAAAAGGGGGGGGAAGGGGTAAATAGAGGGGGGAGAGAGGGGGGAAATTCATCTCTTGTTGAGTTGTTTGCAGGTCGTGCAGTTGGTGAGTCAAGACTTCAAAATTGGGGGTAAGTGCTGTCTCTCTCTCTCTCTCCTGTATTCCTCCCCTCTCTCACTCCCCCCCCCAACCCCCCCCCCCAACCCCCCCCCAGCCATGTGCTGCTCAGAGAGAGAGAGAGAGAGAAAGAGGGGGAGGTCTGGGGTACACAGTCACTACACTCGGTGGCGCGTCCCCCGGCGAAGCGCTTCGAGACGCCTTCTCGGGAAAAGGCGCCGCGTCGAATGCCAGATTATTATTATTATTATTATTATTATTGTTTTAATTAAGAATATGATTTAATATTTATTGTTTGGAGAAAGGCCCTGTGGTGTGGGGGGCGGTGGGGGGTGTGTGGGGGGCAACGTAAAGACCACGCGTTAGCCCCAGGTCCCCCCCCGTGTCGGTCTGGCTCCGGTTGGTGACTCTCTCTCTATCTCTCTCTCTATCTCTCTCTCTCTCTCCCCCCCCCACCGCTCCCCCTTTTTTTTGAGCCGGAAAAATAATACTCCGGGCAACTGCGGGGCGTCCCGCGGAGCGCTCCGAGGCGTCTCGGCCACATTGGGGGCGGTGGGTGGATGGGGTGGGGAGGGGGGAATTGCACAGTCGTTTTAAGATGCGGCGCTTGGGGGGGAGTGGGGGGGCGGCTGTTCCGGTGTCGGAGCTGCCGTCCTTCGGGTGAGACGTTAAACCTCCCCCCCCCTCCGCCCCCGCCCCGCCCTGTCTGCACCGCTTGTTCTCAGGTGGACGTTCAAAGATCTCCCCTCTCCCGGTGTCCTGACCGACAATCCCCCCCACCCACACCCCCCCCTCAATGACGGACAGCGGAGATCCTCCTCGCGTTGCGCGCCGGCGACGCGCGGGGTCCCCCCTTTCGAGCGATCCCCCCCTCTTGCTCTCCCCCGATGATGACCTGCACTGGGCTATGAATGCGGAATGATTCGAACGTGCAACCTGGTTGTGGCTTTGACACCTCAACGAGACCCTGAGGGGAAGAGCGAGCGCGTGGGGTCTCTCCTGGCTTGGCGCTGGGACTGCGCGGTGACCCCCGGGTTCGGTGTTGGCCCCCTAACCGCGCCTCCGGTTGCCCTCCTACCCACTCCCCACCACCGCCGCCGCCGCCCCCAACCCACAGCTCGGGTGCAAACCCGGAGCTCAACACCGCCTCACTGCTGGTAACCCCCCCTCACCCCCTCACTCCCCCTCCCCCTCACTCCCCCTCCCCCCTCACTCCCCCTTCCCCCCACCCCTCCCCCCCTCACTCCTCCCCCTCACTCCCCTCCCCTCCCCTTCCCCACTCCTCTCCCCACCCCCTCCCTCCTTTCCCCCTCACTCCCCTCCCCCTTCCCCCCACCCTCTCTCTCCCCCCACTCCTCTCCCCCCCACTCCTCTCCCCCCACTCCTCTCCCCCTCACTCCTCCCCCCCCACTCCTCTCCCCCCCACTCCTCTCCCCCCACTCCTCTCCCCCCACTCCCCTCCCCTCCTCTCCCCTCTTACTCCCTCCCCTTCCCCCGCACTCCTCTCTCCCCCTCACTCCCCCTTCCCCCCACCCCTCCCCCCCTCACTCCCCTCCCCTCCCACTCCTCTCCCCCCACTCCTCTCCCCCCTCACTCCCCTCTCCCTCACTCCCCCTTCCCCCACTCCCTCCCCACCCCTCCCCCCCCCCCTCCCCCTCACTCCTCTCCCCCCCCACTCCTCTCCCCCTCACTCCTCTCCCCCCCCCACTCCTCTCCCCCCACTCCTCTCTCCCCCCCACTCCTCTCCCCCCCACTCCTCTCCCTCCCCACTCCTCTCCCCCCCCCCCCCCCCCCCCACCACTCCTCTTCCCCCCCCACTCCTCCCCCCCCCACCTCCTCTCCCCCACTCCTCTCGCCCCCCCCCCCCCCCCACACTCCTCTTCCCCAACCCCCTCCCGTTCCTCTCCCCCCCACCCCCCCCCCCCGCCTCCCTCTCCACTGTTTGTGGGACACTGCTGTGTGCGATCGGCCGCCGCGTTTCGCCCACAAACATACAGTCAATTGACTTTACAGTCTATTCTGTGAAGCGCTTTGGGCCGTCTCGAAGACGTGAAAAGCGCCGTATCAAACGCGAGGATTATTATTATTATTATTATTATTATTGTTATTATTGTTATTCAGCCCTACAGGAAAGGGTTTGACGATTTTCCCTTTCCCTCTCCTCCGCAGTTGGTGGGTGTTGATGGCATTCCTCAGGACCAGCTGACCGAGGCCATACTGGAAGAAAGCAAGTCCTTTACCGTCAATGTGTGAGTTTACCGTTGGGACGTCCTCCTGACGTGAAAGGCGCTTTATAAATGGAATCTTGTTGTTGTTGTTACCGTACCATGTTGGGAGGAAGCACATGAGGAGCGCTGGAAGAGCACCCAAGTGCGGGTCTGAGCCAAGAGGGGGTGGGGAGGGAAAGATAATAATAATAACGTCCCACGGTCCCTCCGCCTCCCCTTCCCTCGCCACCTTCAAGACCCATCTCAAGACCCTCCTCTTCGACCGTGCTTTCGATCTCCCTGCTTCCTCCCCGACCCCGACCCCCCCCCCAGCTCGGGGTCCGTGACTCTTGTCTGTCCAGCGCCTTGGGACGTCCTCCCGACGTGAAAGGCGCTTTGCCCGTGTAATTTTGTGGTTGTGGCATTCGACACGGCTCCTTATCGCGTCTTCGAGACGTCTCAAGGCGCTTCACAAAAATATACTGCAAAGTGGGCGCAACGTGACGGGCGCTACGTAATTAGGCAGTTTTGACACCCGGTGAGGCATTAGGCTACTGGCGTGGGGGAAAAAAATGCTTAGCCCAATATTTTTTGTTCTGCGTCCCTCCAGCCGCCTGGCGAAAAAACTGCCTTTACCGACAGAGAACGAGGAATCCCGGCCACGGATAGACCTCATTGTTTTCCTGCTGGATGTCCGCAATCAGTACAGGTGAGCTGAGATCTTCCTTGGTGTCGGGTCACGTGTGGTGAGATTTGATCCACTGTAAAACCTGGGGAATAAAGCTCAGCTTCTCCTCCTCGGCTTACACGCCACACCAGGCCTTCATGTCAGATGTTACCCCTATGTTCCCCACACACAGTCTCTCTACCCCCTCCTCGCTCCCTCCCTCCCCTCCCCCTGACCATTTCCCCCCCTGCTCGGGTCCTGACCCAACTGCCCAGCGCCTTGGGACGTCCTCCCGACGTGAAAGGCGCTCTCTAAATGAAATCTTGTTGTTGTTGTTGTCATTTTTATTCACCTTGTCGTGTGACTGACGGTGACCTTTATTATTTAGTCTCCCTGTTTCTGTCTTCATGTTAGTACACATGCCTAATATAATAAAGGTATAAATAGCACTGATAAAATGCTCTGGGATGCCTCCCTGCGTGCGGGGCTTTATATAAACGCAGGTTGTTGCTGATAGTTAGGAATGTGATTCTGTTTAGATAGGAGTCAGAGTTACAAAAGTATTTTAATTCTGCTCCTGTGCCTGTGCGACGCAGAGTTTTCACTGTTGTGAGGCAGCTCTAGGTTGGATCCTTACCCGATGTTTTATAATTACAGTATAGAGATCACAAAGTCCTCACTGGCTTATGTCGATGTGAATTTCTTTCTTGGGAAAGTTTGCTTCCTAGCCGTTATAGGTGAGTAGCTTTCAGCAAGGTCGGAGCCATTCGACCCGCAAAGCCTGTTTGCCATTTTATTAGATCGTGACTGATCTGTTCATTCCATTTATCAGCTTTTCTCCATATTACATAATGCCCTTTCCAAGGATCTGTTTATTTGGGGGTATAATCCCTCTCCCCAAAAAATCTCTCCAGGGACACTGCTGTGGGCAATCGGCTGCTGTGTTTCACTCGCTTTACGCAGTTAATTCACTTTACGGTATATTCTGTGAAGTGCTTGACTGTGCCTAAGGTTACCTCAGCATCGTGCTGCGTCACTGTCAAGCGCTCTGCGACACTATCCTACGCGAGGGACGCTGCAAGTTATTGCTGTTTGAGTTGTCTGAATTATGTGAAAAGGCGCTATGTCAAATGCAAGGATTATTATTAATTTTTTAATCTGTATTTACATTTTTTAGAGCCACTGTTAATTGCTGGAATGTTGGTTCTCGCCTCAGTCATTATTACCTTTCTCTCCGGAGTCAAACCCATTCATATTCCCAATGTTAGGTGCTGGGAATAGTCAGATTGAAGGGTACGGGAGCCGAGTGGGGTAGTGTTCAGCTCAGACCTGCGGTGTGTGTCTGTGTTAAACATTCCATGAACCGAGCAGAGATGTACAGGCTGCTGATTCTTTGAATATTTCAATTCAATGTCTTGTTTCAATTGGCTTTCCCGGGGCAGACAAATCCATTAAGCACCAAGTGGTGGAGATGCATGCTGTGAAGGAACTGGCTGATTCTTACTCAAGCCCTCTGTTTTTCGTTGAACTGGCGGTAAGCACATTCGGAATTACTTCCTTCGTGGTTGTGTGTGGAACATTACTGTGCGCAAATTGCCTCGAAAATGCATGGTCACTACACCTCACAGTCAACCCCGTGAAGCACTTCGAGTCATCCTAATGTGGAAGGCACTGTATTTAAGCGCTCCGGGACACTACCCCGCTTGAGGGACGCTATATAAATGCAAGTTTTTGTTATCAAATGCAAGTATTATGACATGATTTTTAACACAAGTGATGAGAGGCCACAACTGTCTGCAGTGACGTGCTGTGTTCAGTCCCCAGAGAGAAGAACTGGGATCGCCCAGAGGCTCCTGCGGATGCTGAAGGTGGCAGCTGGGCTGGTACCTGGGGTGTCAGCGCTCGCTCTCAGCTCCTTGCTGAGACCCTCATTCAAGACCCAAGCCAAGAGATGCTGAGGAAACCTGCTGTCGGTGGTACAGCATCTTCAACTTGGTTTAGCGTCGACCCGAAAATGGGCTGGATTCATTTGGAACTGTCGCCATTTTCACGAGTGTGTACTGTTTGTGTTGATGAGGGTTCAATGGCATAATATTCCCTCCTCTCCCCCCCCCTTACACGGCCTGTGCAATTGAGAGTGGAACTAAGAGAGTTGTGTAAGAGTGGGCTACGTATCCCACCTGTGCCAATGTTGACCTGCGCAGGAGCAAGTCTTGCTTTGTTTTGTCCCTCAGCTCGATATAGAAGTGGAGTCCTGTAGCGAAGTGGTCAGAGCGCTCACCTTGCAAGTGAGAGGACTCGGGTTCAATTCCTGGGCAGGGCAAAACCTTAGGCTAAGTTTCCTTACTGCGCACACACACATACACCTCTGTTTACCTCGCAGTAAGTTGGAATCTGGTGGTTAGTCGGATTGCTTTACTGGAGTAATAATTCCTTCAAAATAATAACAACATATAGGGTCACTACACTTTGCAGTATATTCTGTAAAGCGCTTTGAGATGGCTCAACGACTGTGATCAGGCGCTGCATCAAACGCAAGGATTTTTATAATTGGAGCAGTCTCTGAGAAGGGCCGAGATAGTGGTCACATTGTAGTGGCCGTGGTCGTGCATTGTACAGAGAAAGCTGTTTGTTTCACACTTTGGAGGGAACAAGTCAACAAAAAGTCTCAACGATGTGATAATGCGTTATATCATTATTCTAATCAAACCGTGCTCGTTGCTGTGGTGAAAATGTTTGAGTTTATCACCGAGCGAGTGGAAACTGCTTGCGTCGTACAGAAGAAGCTTTAATACCAGATAGAAGCAGGCGATTGTGTTTGCGGGTATTCCCATTTCCGACGGTGGGGATGGGATCCCACACGCTGAGCAGCTCCCTCTTACACCATCGATGCGATTCTACCAGCAATCCCCGCAAAAGGTTTCCCAGATGCAGGTTTGTGTCCGCATTGTCATGCAGAATCTGTTTTAAATGTCGTTCACATTAAAGTTGCTTTCATTTTTTCAGAATGTTTCTGATTCCAGACGTGCGAGCAGTCCATAAATCGATCTCCTTCCACCGTTATAATTTATTTTAAATGGCTATACCAAATGCAAAAGATTATAATGAGGATTTACTGTTGCCTTATTATGTGAGTTACATTGCGCTATTTGAAAAGATCCCGGTGTCCTGGCCAACAAACCCCAAATAAAATGGGTCACCACGATGATTGCCACAAGGTGATGCTGTTGCTGTATAAATCAACTCAAATACAGTGCAGTGCGTTCTTGAGCAGCGAATAGTTCAGTAAGAATTTGCTAATGAAGTATTTATAGTGTGCTTTTGAAATGTTTTTCGGAAGTAAAACTTGTTTATGTCTCTAACCAAAAGGGAAGAGAGGAAATCGCTTGCAGGGTGACTGAGTGTTAAGAGCCCTGCAGTTCGCTGTGGGTCACAATTCCCACCGGTCAGGAACCATTGAGCATTTACATCAGCAAATAGAAGGATTTAGTATGAAAAGTTTCCTCTTGAATACATTGGTAAAGGATTGGGACCCACAGTGGAAGGTAACATTCACTCTGAAAAAACTCTGGTGGTGTGGAAAGCCCTTTTACCTGAGTCAGCAGTTCTATAATATTGCCATTGGGCTCTTAACACTCAGTAACCCTGCAAGCAAAAGCCTTGGGGTAGGTGGTCCTCGCTGGACAAGCAGTAGGAAAGCTCGCCATACCATAATGGCAAGCTATGTAGGTTAGGTTCCAGAGGTTATCCCAATGCACACTCTGGGTTCCCCCCCAAGCCTTGGCTCTTAACAACCTGCATCTAAGACTGTCCGGAAGTAGCTGAGCCGGATGCTTCCCTCCAGGGGGAGAGAGCGCATTCCAGTCCAACAATCTATCTGGATTTCCATGCGTAGGAGATGGATGGAAATCTCAGTTTGCTTTGAAGATTCTTATTAAACGCTGTGATGGGTTTCTGTGTGTGTCAGACGCCCAGCTGACCAAAAAAACACATTAATTTGCTTATGTTTATTTCTTCTTTGTGGGTTCAGTATGATTGTACCTCCCCCATCTCACCACCACTACCAACCCACCATGAACTCAGTCTCAGAGCCAGGAAGCACCTGTGTAAAACTTTGACTGAACAGCCTGCTGACCAACCCAGATAATCTCTTATCTATGTTGAGCTGCTATATCTGGAACAACTAATCTTTAGTATATTAGTAATCAAATACCTTTACTACTCTATTTATACACTGTAGGTATTCATATATCTATATATGAATGAATATATTATGTATATTTTAAGTGTAGTCTGTGAAGCGTTTTGAGACTTACCGAAGGTGATAAGGTGCTAGGATTATTATTATGTATATATAGAGAGAGTATACGTCCTCCTGACGTAAAAGGCGCTATACAGTCCTCTATCTGGGATTTCCACGTGTAGGTGGTGTGCAGAGAATTCTCAGTTTGGTGTGGATACTCTGAAGCAACGGTGATGGGGTTTCCGCATGTGTCAAGACAGCACAAAAGTTATTCAGAATGATTCCTGTTAGCTGTGACCGGGAAAAATCACTTAAACAGAAAGAATGAGCCATTGCCCGCTGAGTAGTTTTCACTGCTTGTCTGAAACTTTAATGCATGTATTTAACATCCACCTAATGGGCAGATAGATGGGACCAAGATTAATTTATCCAAAGGATGGCGTCTCCCAACAAAGCAGGGCTCGCCCAACGCTGCACTTGGGAGCACAGCCCACCCTTGGAGCTCAAGTGGAAAGGTCATTATTAATAATAATCCACGTGGGGATTGATCCAAGATTATTTGGGCAGGCGACTGAGACAAACTGAGAACAGTGAACCTTCCTCTTTGCCCTCCCTCTCGCACTTTTAGAGGAAAAAGCAAACTTTCAGTTTGCGTCAGAGGCAGTCTGACTAATCCTAAAAAAAGTCCAGGAATGCAAAGCAGCCGGGTGCATGCAAAGGCTAACCTCGCACGAGACAAAAAGTGGCTGATCAACAAATCAATAATTTCATATTAGAGCCGTCTAACCCAGAGAGAGAGAGAGAGAGAGAGATAAGTGCCGTGGCTCTCACACTCTCGGGTCGGGTCAGTTGGTTATGGATTCTACTTACCATACCACTTTACATTTGTATAGCGCCTTTCACGTCGGGAGCTGAAATTGCTGACGTGCACGTTTCTAGTCCTAACCCTTCAGTCCTTCGCGGCGCCAAACTCCTGCGGTCAACCCCTCTAACTCGGCAAACTCAGGCCTGCAAATTGTTCTTTTATTTCCACGGCACTGCTTGAAAAGAGGAGGGACTTTTTCTCTCTCTCTCTCTCTCTCTCCCGGCGTCCGGGCTAACAAACCCACCCCTGATAAAATTGGTCAATCACTCCATGGTTGTTTGTGGGACACTGATGTGCGCCACTGGCTGCCGCATTTTGCCCACGCACTACGCAATAGACTGTAAAGTGAATTGACTGTATATCCTGTGACGTGCTTTTGAGATGTCCCCAACGTTTTTTTAGGTGCCGTTAAAAAAAAAAAATGCAAGGATTATTATTAATCTGTTCCCAGCTGAGGCGTTTTCTCTCTCTCCCTCCATCTCGCCCAGCTTGCCCCCAGCACTACTCCCACGCCTGCATTGGAGTATCAGCCTACACTGTGAGCCCCGAACCCCGACTCGAACCCACTCAAACGCTTGCCACGGAAGCAAGAGTGCTACCGACTGAGCCAAGCTGGCACTGGTCTTCGAGTGGACCGGGAGAACTTGTTTGTGTCTTTTTTGTACGCGACATCTGCGTCAGCTATGCTCTGGGGCTTTGTGTCTCTGAGTCACCGGTCCTCAGAGTTGCTGTGGGGGCTCCCCTTTTCTGCTCGGTAAGGAAGGGGGTGTGTGTGAGGGAGTAACGCCTCAAGGTTCAGTCATCATTCAAATGAAGGTGGATGTTTTATGTCTCTATCCGCTGTGACACATTGCGTTGGTGAGACTGGGTCAAACTCTGCATTGACGAGACTTGTGGCAAAGTATTGGGAGAATGGAGTCCTTCGGAAAAGGAAACGGATCAGATAACCGAGCAGTAATACCATCAGAGAACAGATTGAAAATAGAATTTATATTAAAAAAGGGTAACAATACAGTCAAACGCACATAAGTCTGATCTATAAATCGCTTAAGTTGTACATCAGCCCAACTCCCGAAGAAGAGTCTTATTTTGTTACAGCACTGGAGGCCATTCGGCCCATCTGGTCTGTGCTGGCTCTTTGAAAGTGCTACCCAACTAATCCCACGCGCCCCCTCTCATTCCCCACAGCCTTGCAATTTTTTCCTTTTCAAGTACCTATCGCATCCTCTTTTGAAAACCACTATCAAATCTGCTTCTATGTCAGTTTGATGCAACTCATCCTTTGCAAAAAAAAAAAAGTCACATTAAAGGTATGGCCCCCAACCAAGAACCAATGTGAGGTTTACTGTATTGCAAGTTGTGATGGCATTAGCTGCGATAGGGCTGAATTATCTCCGGTGTTGAAAATGTCTTTGTTTCTACAGGTTTTGTGACGTCAACGCAGAGGGAATTGATGGAGCATTCTTTTAGAAGCTCTTACCTTCCTCGAGACACCAGATGCACATCAACATCTGTCAGGTCAAGTTACACAGAGAAAGTCCTTTTTATTGAAAGGTCTGCTTTCAGTTTCTATAGTCCTCTGCTCCACAGCTGGCTTTCCACCTGTCTGGAGAGGGAGCTATAAGCAAGTATCTTATTTTCAATAGGTTGACCACAGGTTACAGAAGGTTTCCTGTGTTCTGTGAGAGATGATCTTGGGGGAACTGTTGACTGATTGTGGGCTCACGACGCAAAATATAGCACAGATCTGATCAATCTCCCTCAGAGAGAGAGAGAGAGAGAGCCTACCTGGGATTAACATCGCTGCTCTTCTCACCGATTCATGTGTAGTTTAGACATTATATTGATTTCAAATATTTCTTGAGCGTGGGGTGTGAGCTCACAGGCTAAGGCTATGGGTTCAATGCCCACGTCAGGACCTTTGAGTTTATAGTCTAGGTCAGGGTGAAGCTTGAAACTCCCATCCATAGCCTCCCTGTTTTAGTGGTAGACAGTCGGAGAAATGTGGCAGCCAATTCCGCACAGCAGTGTCCTACAAACGATCAAGGATTGAGCGACCAAATTATTATTAAAGGTATTTATTTTGGAAGGGATTATTACCCCCGGAGAAGCGATCTGCTAATCGACTAAGAACCGGGTTCCTGCTTACTGCTGGGTAAGCAAGCGAGTGTGTGGAGTAAGCAACCTTGCCCAACGTTTCGTCCTGCCCGGGGGAATCAAACCTGAGTCCTCTCGCTTGCGAGATGAGCGCTCTAACCAATATGCCACATTATCTTAGACATTGAGGGTGCCAATCTTATCCACTGGGTGGTCTGCAGCGGAGAGTGTGTGGGTTGGAGGGGGGTTGGGGGGTGGGTGCCAAAGTGGTGGTGGAAACACTGGCAGATTTTGCCAGTTAGTAGTCCACGGGCACTAAGGCCGAATGAGCAGGCGCTGGTTGAGATCAGCTAACTCAGCAGAGACCAGGACCGTTCCAATCATTTGGCCGCCGAGGGCCGGATGCCCTATTTGAGAAACATCAATGGGCTGCATAAGCAATATTTTGGTGTCTCCCTTCCAAAAAGCATAACATTTACGGGTTATGGGGTGAGCGGTTGGGCCGGATGAAATGGAGGGGCGGAGGGAGGCGAGGGGAATGTGGTCCATGAGCTGTCAGTTGGATCTCCCTGACCCAGACCATCAAGAAAGGTGTTTGGATTAACAGCAGTGGTTTTGGTGGTCACCAAGGCGGTGGGTCCCAGCTCAGTGGCGGGCAGTGGAAAGCTTGGATCCCAATGATTGCTGCCGACATAATTGTCTCTATGGAGATGGCTTCTCATGCCCCCATCCCAGACCTCCTCGTGGTGACAGTCAGGTTGTTCCCTGCATCCCGAGTCTTTGGGAATTCCGTTCCGTGGATTCGGGCCAGTGCCGTTTCCTTGGGAGCCAGAGGAGGGAGAGGCTTCACATCTGCCGTCGTTCTTATTTAACGTGTTGCATTCTTCCGACCCCTCTAAACGACCGGTCTCTATAAAAACAAATCGGAAAATAAGTTGAGTTATCCAACTGGGCGTTGCAGAAAGCAAAGGTGTCCTTGTTGACTAAGTAACACGGGATGTAAGTAACAGTAGTAAATCTCGCATCTGATACCGCGCCTTATCGCTTCTTCGAGACGTCTCAAAATGCTTCACAGGATACACTGTGAAGTGAATCGACTGTGTATTTTGTGGGCGAAATGCAGCAGCCGATTGCGCACGGCAGCGTCCCCAGCGTGGATTGAGTGACCACATTATTAATATTTTGTCGAAGGGATCATTACCCCCAGAAAGCCATCCACCATTCGACTAATCACCAGGTTCCTACCTGCTGCTGGTCAAACAGAAACTGTGTGCGTGGAGTACGGACACCTGCATAAGGTTTCGCCCCACCTGGGAATCGAACCCAGGTCCTCTCGCTCGCTCGCCGAGAACTCTAACCAACACAAGTAACGCACCAAAGTCTTCTAGTTTTACTTATTGCTTTATCTGTATTGGACTTTATTTCCAAATCAATCCCAGTTCCCCACAGGGGCGGTGCATTCCTGATCTGAACAACTCGCTGCATGAAAGGTGGTCCCGGCGATATTCCCGATGCCTTCCGAAGCAACGACAACTTGCATTTGTGCAGCGCCCTTCCCTTCGGGGGTAGCGTCTCGGAGCGCACGCGGGCAAACCTCTCGTCCGCCGCTCTCACCTCTTCGAATCCTCGCCTCTCTCCGCCGCTTAATGGATCTTTTAACGCAGAAGGCTGTGGTCACGAGGATGAAGACTCCGGTCACCACCACTGTCAGACAGGCCAACCAGAGAAGCGCTTCTCGTGCCTCGTGACCAGCTCTGTTCCCCAACGTCTGAGATATCTCGATATCAGGTTGCGTTGTCAACGTGGTGCTTTCTGTGGAGCAACGTACACATTTATTAGGCTTTACCGGTCCCGCAGCTCAGGGGCCAGAGCGGTCGCCTCGCAAGCGAGAGGACCCGGGTTCGATTCCCGGACGGGGCGAAACCTTCGTCAAGTTTCCTCACTCCGCGCGCACACGCACACACACACGCACACACGCACGCACACGCCTCTGTTTACTTAGCAGTAACCCGGTTGTCAGTCGATTGGCAGATCGCTTTTCCGGGGGATAAAAATAGAACGCTAAGAATTTGGTCGCTCGTTCCACGACTGTTCGTGGGACATTTTCGGTGCCCAATTGGCAAAGCCATTAGCCCTTAAATGCTTCCCCTCCCCGCCCCCCGCCACCCCCTTTGTGTTAGCCCTCAAAAGCCTCTCCCTCCCAACGTGCCCCAGTTCTGACGAAGGGTCGCGGACCCGAAACATTGACTCACTTTCCTTTCTCCATAGATGCTGCCTGACCCGCTGAGGGTTCCCAGCGACAAGTGGCAGCGAGGCAGCCAAACTTTACGGTCAAGCCAAATAAATTGTACCTTTTCCACCCTATAATTTTCAACCAAGTAGGTTTTTCTTAGCATTGGATCATAGAGACTTACTTGCAGCACAGACGGAGGCCCATTCGGCCCATGATTGAATATTTATCGATTTATGGCTTCAATATCGTTACTGGTAGCTACTGGAAACGAGTTATTTTAAGAATAATCATCCTTGCATTTGATGGAGCGCCCTATCACGTCTTCGAGACGTCTCAAAGCGCTTCACGGGACACGCTGTAGAGCGAATTGACTGCAGCTAAATCTCCTACAAACAGTCGTGGATTGAAGTGACCGATTTTTTTTTAAAAAGAAAAGGAATTATTACCCCCAGAAAAGCTATCCGTCGATCGACTGACAACCGAGTTCCGATGACAATAACGCTGGGCAAACGGAGGGTTGCGGAGTGGGGAACCTTGCCCAACGTTTCGTCCTGCTGGGAATCGAACCCAGGTCTCTCGCTTGCGAGGTGAGCGCTCTAACCACCGAGCTACAGGACCCTACGGGTGAAGCTACAAGCTGTTGATTTAACACGGGCTTAACCAGACGAGTGAGAAAGTTCGGCAGACCACTTCCCGACACCTTTGTGGGCCATGCGTGGTCTCCCACTCCAGCAAGGGAAGAGAAAGACCGAATAAAAGGGTCTCAAGACCCTCCTCTTGTCTTGGGCCTTGCGCTTGATATTGGCATCTGCCTGAGGTTAAGGATTCAAGTCCCACCTCGGCAATTGGAGTGCCCAGAAGCGTAGAGGTTAGAGCACTCGCCCCGCAAGCGAGAGGAACCGGGTTTCGGTTCCCGGACGGGGGCAAAGCTGTGGGCAAGGAGGCCACTGGCCCCGCGTGAGGGGGCGAATGCAAGTTGTTGTTGAAGACAATCCGGGGAGAAACGGCAGCAGTTTGCACTCCTATAGCGCCCTCCACCCAGGACATCATCTCAGAGTGTTTACCAGAGAACCTTAAGCTATCCCTCAAGATGTGCTCAGACCTGCCCGACATTCACTTACTGCAGTGTTTTATTCACAGCATTGGAACGAAGCAAGTTTCTCAGTTCCTATTTGGCCTTGCTGCTCTCTGCATTTCTTTTTTCCACACATCCTTTTTTTCTTTTCTCTCTTTAATTTAAATCTAGAACGCGCACTTCCCTGATTTCTTCTTCTGACACCTGCCCTGAAACGACTCGCTCCCTTCCCCTGGTTTTCGCAGCCGCGGCAGTTAACAGCGGTTTGCCTTTGAAGCGCTTCGAGGCGCCTTAAGTGACACTTGAATGTAAATTTCGCCCGCGGACTGGACCGCAAAGTCAATTTGCCGCGCAGTACATCCTGTGAAGCGCTTTGAGACGTCTCAACGACACGATAAGGCCAAATGCCCCCACGCAGAGGACACCAGTATAAAACAAAATGCTTCTCTCTATCGTATCGTGATAATAATCCTTGCATATGATAAGTGTTTTCTCATTTAACCCTCCTCTTCGACCAGGCCATCAGCCACAGCCCCCTTCCCTTCGCCTCCCTTCTCCCCCCCCCCCCCCGACCCCAGCTCGGGGGTCTGAAATGCTGTACACAGTCCAGCGCCTCGGGACTTCCTCCCGACCTGAAAGGCGCTATCCAAATGTAATCTTCTTCTTGTTGTTGCTGTTGTCTTCGAGACGTCTCAAAGGGCTTCACAGGATATAACCGTAAAGCGAATCGACTGTACGTTGTACGGGCGATACACGGCAGCCAATTGCGCACAGAAGCGTCCCAATAAACAGCCGTGGATTGAAGTGACCGCATTATTATCATTTTTTGGGGGGAAATCACCTTAAACCTCCCCACGGCCTCTCTCCCCAGTTCCCTGTTAACCCCCCGCCCCGCCAGGTTCCTACCTGCTTTGATGACCACCTCAAACTCTATACATTCGAGTGTCAGCGTGTCCTCTCTAAGGCATCGTGGCTCATCGGCGTCCATGGTCGGGGCTGGTCTACCTCGCTCTCTGAGACCGAGCTGCAACCAGTGGAGGTGGGTGGCTCTTTAACCGCTTGAAGGGGAAGTGTCCAGATTTAGTCTGTAAAGTTCCAATGACTCATTACCGTGTTGATTGACAGCCAAGTACGAGCCTAGACTCTTATTGAGCGAGCGTGAGCCCTGCAAAAAAAAAAAGAGTATTAAAGCCTTTTTTTCTTGGGAGCCATTTGACCCATCGCGTCTGCGCCCCTGGTCAGGTTCTCTCCGGGAGTTGGTTATTTTAACCCCTGCTCTTTTCCCCATCATCGGATGTTATTCTCATGACCCTCCTCTTTTCGACCGTGCCTCTGATCACCCTCCTAACCCCCACCCCGTACCCTCCCTGCCCTCCACCCCTCCTGATCCCAACCACCAGCTCAGGTCCAAATCCCTCACTGTCCAGTGCCTTGGGACGTCCGCTTGACACGAAAGGCGAAAGGTGTAAATGTAATTTGTTGGTGGTTGTTGTTCCACTGGAACACCTTACCCTCCTTTGATCACAGCATGAAGCTATTTTTAAATGAGTCCAGTGTTCTGTCCTCAACCACCCTTCTTGGTAACCTTGTTCCAGTTGTTAATCACCCACTGAGTAAAGAAAAACATTGTGGTGTCTAACCTCAAATTGTCCTTTGCAACTCTAAACCTGTGTCGTCTTGTTCTGTTGTCTTGATGCATCCTAAAGTATTGCTCTTGGAGTTGAGGTACAGATCAGCTATGATTCTAACAGGATGGTGGAACAGACTGGAAGGGCTGAATGGGCTCCTCCTGTTTCTGTGTTGTGGAGTTACCTTTTCAGCACCCTCCTATAATTTTATGGGGACATCTCTGAGGACTGAATAGCCCGAGGCACTCGTAGCTTGTTCCACAAACACTGAGTATCATCCTCAATGCGCTCTGCGAGGCCTCCAGAGCCAGGGCAGCCCCCCTTAATGTGGTTGGGACCAGAACTGTATGCAGGACACAAGGTGAAAGTGTCTGCGTTGGTGCTCAATCGCCCCACTACAATCCCCTGCTCTCTCCCCCTCCCCAATTGTGTCGGTGTCGGGGTACACTGCTCCCCCAGTGGAGCCTTCTATTCTATCTCTGCGCAGATTTACTGTCAGACTCCAGCGGTTACCCCCCAACTCCCCCCCCACCCCAAGCTTTGGCTCTCGCCAACCTACGCCTAATACTTTCCGGAATTAGGTAAGCATGGTGCATCCCTCCGAGGAGAGAGAGCGTGTGAGAGAGAGAGAGAGAGCGTATTCCATTCCAACAATCTATCTCTGGGGTTTCCATGTGTAGGGAATTCTCAGTTTGGTTTGGAGACTCTTGAGCAACGGTGATGGGCTTCCTAGTGTGTCAAGACGCCCGGCTGATCAAAAGAAAATCTGAGGAACCGTAGGGCCATCGAGTGGTTAGTTGCAGTAGTGCTGTAGAACCAAAATCGATTGAGATGTTCATACGACACAACAGAATTGGTTGGGATCAGGAGGGGTGGGTGTAGGGAGGGTGGTGGGGGGTTAGGAGGGTGTTGTCGAAGAGGAGGGTGTTGAGACGTGCCTTGGAGGAGGAGACAAGAGAAGGGGGTTGAGGGGGGGGGGGCGAGACGAGGGGAATGTGGGATGGGGTTCTATAGGGTGGGTGGCAGAGAGGCTGAAGGCCTGGAGGCCGACGGTAGGGCGGGCGGGGGAGGGAGGGGGGGGGCTTGCGGAGAAGGCCAGATGGGTTGAAACGTTTAAGGCGTAGACGGGCACTGAAGTAATGGTTGGGAAGGGTGGAGACCGGGTGGGAAAATGGGATTAGACAGCCTGCGTTCGACACAGCGCCTTGTCACGTCTTCGAGACGTCTCAAAGCGCTTCACAGGATACACTGTAAAGTTGCCCGACTGTGTGTCTCGTGGGCGAAAGACAGCAGCCGATTAAGATTAAATTAAATTAAATCAATTTAAGACAGTCTACACAGCGCAGTTGTACGTAAGCGTAAAGCCTGGCTCTCTCTGGTCCCATCTGTAGTTTCCCTTATGATCCCTTAGGAGTTCCCTGTGTATGTGCACGTTATCTGTCCTTTGGAGGAGACTTTAAACCAAGGTCCCGTCTGTGTCTGTTCAGCTGGACGTTAAAGATCCCATGGTGCTACTCGAAAAGAGAAGGGAGTTTCTTTCCCTCTCTCTCTCTCTCTCTCTCTCTCGGTGTCCCAACTCAACGAATTTCCCCCAAACGAATAAAATCGGTCGCTCGCTTCACGGCTATCTGCGGGGTACGGCTGAGTGCAGGTCGGCTGCCGCGTCCATCGACAAAATGCGCAGTTCCCGCAAGATCCCACGAAGCCTTTTTCGAGGCGTCTTCTCAACGCGAGAGGCGCGATGTCAAATGCGGAGGACGGAGCGAACGGTTATTGTTTTTTCGTCTGTCGCCTGAGTCCTCGGTCGAGCCGCGCCCGGGCGGCCAGCGTTGCGGCGATCGGCAGCCTTGTTCCCGGCAAATAATAAATCATCCTCCGATTTGACGGAACCGCTTTATTCGAGGTCTCACGACGTCTCAAAGCGCTTCACGGAATACGCTGTTGAGTGACTGGACTGCATGTTGTGCGGGCGAAACGCGGCAGCCGATCGCGCGCAGCGGCGTCCCCGCAGACAGCCGCGAATTGAGCGACCAAGTTATTATTTACCAATGATTTCGAAGGGATTATTACTACGCCTGGGAAGCCGTCCGCCAATCGACTAACAACTGCTGGGTACGTAGAGGCGCGTGCGAGGAGCAAGGGAAGCGTTCGCCCTAAACGGGAATCAAACCCGGGTCCCCTCCGGACTTGATGAGGGAATTCGGGTCAGCGAACCTGAACCGATCCTCTCCGGTAAAGGTCAGAGCGACGCGAAGGACATGGAGCCCACGGAGTGATAAGTCGCAAAGAAGTAACAGACACCAGGGACTGGGCTGGAGGCTTTTTGATCGGATATGAGAGGAGAGGTGACTGGTACAAATTGTTCCGCGCGCCTCATTACATTACAGCCTTCACCTCTCTCTCTCTCTCTCTCTGTGCAGTCGCGTTTCGATCTAAATCAATATTCAGCACTAACATCGCTGCTTCTCTCTCAGTCCCCGACAAAGCCACGTTTAGATTTTCAGGTTCTTCTCCCGCGAAATGCCGCAGTCGATTCGCTCGACGGTTTCTCCCGTGAAGCGCTTTGAGACGTCTCGAGGACCCGATGAGGCGCTGTTGGATCCAATCGAGCTGTTACGGCTAATTGCCTCCACATTAATGCACTCCCCTCTCCGTTGCGCGGATAAATTCCAGCGACGGGTCTCGGTGAATACGCTTGGCGGATCGTGAGAGAGGGAAAATTGCAGTTTTACTGAACCTGTTGTGTCGAAAATACTCTTCGGTGACCGGTATTAATACAATTATACTTCGCATTTGATACCATGCCCTTGAGACGTCTGAAAGCGCTTCACAGACGATACTGTAAAATGTGGTGACTGTGTATTTTGTGGGCAAAATGTGCCTAAGGTTTCACCCCGGGTCCTCTCGCTTGCGAGGCGAATGCACTAACCCACCTACGCTACTGTACTCTCAGCCAACGTATTATTTATCCAGCACCGATGAGGCAGAGGAGAAGGAGAGGCTCAGGGAAACAGCAGGAGCCGGAGAGGAATTGCAGAGAGCAGACAGACAGCACAGGAGGGGGGGGGGACAATTTGACAGAGCGTTTCCGCCCGACTGCAGTACGAAGTGCACCGAGTTGGGTGGAAAGTGCGCCGAGTTGGCGAGCTTCGAAGCGACGGCGGGAACAGTCTGACATTTAGTTGGGAGAAGGGCACATTTGGAATGGGACCTCGCAACGAGTTCGATCAGTCACGGTATCGGGTTCCACCACAAGCGCACGCCAACTCTTAGAGCTGCAAAGTAGGACTGTGTATTGGCACATTGCGCCAAAAAAAAAACCGAAGGGCTACAAACAGCGCCTTATCACAGGATACAGTAAAAAAAGAGAATAAATTGGTCAGTTGTTACTCTTATTATTATTAATATTTTTACTGCAGGGCGTAAATAAGTGGCTCTGTGTTAGCTGCTTGGCGGGGCGGATGACACTGTTAAAGCCGCACAGCTCCGCAAACACTGTGCACGTTAAGCGGCGTTACATCAATGACATATCTTCTGTCATATGCTGCCAACCATGCGTGACCATCGCGTCTGCTGTTGCATCCGTACAGAGGGGCGTTTGGAGTGAATTGAAAGGAGGGGGTCGTCAAGAGATCTGAAACCTCCCCCTTTGCAATCTCAGCCGGGAGCGCGGGATCCGATAAACTGGCTCGATGGGCTGAATGGCCTCTTCCTGTTCCCGCGTTCCCGATGTGAGCTCAAACGAGACGTCGCCAAATATTCCTCATTAGGGGGAATTTTTTTTTCTTTTTGGATATTCACAGATTCAAAGAGAGAGAGAGAGAGAGAGAAAAAAGGTCAGGAACAGCGAAGAGAACTGAAATTCTGGGGTAGGTTTGATTTTTTTTCTTCTTCGCGAAGGTTACCGGGTGACGAGACGAGCTCTTTAATTAGCCACGAAGCAGAGGGATGATTAATGGCTTTAACATTTCAAACTGTGCCAACCCCTACCTCACATAAGCCGTAAAGATTCAACACCCAACACGACACCAACCGCCTTCAAGAGAAGGTGCAGCACCTGAAACGAGTAGTAGAACACATTAGAATATACAGCACAGAAACAGGCCATTGGGTCCAACTGGTCTATGCCGGTGTTTATGCTCCATCTGCGTCCCCTCCTGTGTTCCTACGTAAACAGAGACATGTGCGCGTGTGGAAAGTAAGGAAACTTGCATATGGTTTCGCCCTGCCTGACCCGCCCGGGAATCGAACCAGAGGCGACGTGTTCGATAGCCCAACGCCACCGGATTGGAGTAGGTGAGCGTTCGGGATAAATAAAGCACTCGAAGACATCAGTTACAGAGAGGTGACACTTTTATTGAGCGATTATCCAACGCTTATTACCCCACACGTGATCTGAGGTACACATTTAAGAGGACATAGAAAGACCGGTATATAGTACAAAACCAAATTCATTTAGAAAACGTTGTGTGTTGTTGTTTCCCCCCCCACCCCCACCCACCCCCCCCCCTCCACCCCACACACCACACACTTCCCACCCGCCTCGTAATTACAATACTCTTCGGGATAGAAACTCAAAGCACGGAATCGACATAATAATAATCCTCGCATTTGGTACAGCGCCTTATCTCGACGTCTCAGAGCGCTTCACAGAATGCACTGTAAAGTGTAGTGGCTGTGCATTTTTTGTGGGCGAAACGCGGCAGCCGCTTACGCACGGCGGCGTCCCCACAGACAGCCGTGGATTGAAGCGGCCGACTTATTACTGTCCCTTTTTCTTGAAGGCTTATGATTATCAGGCGTAAGGAAGTAAGGAAACTTGCCCAAGGTGTCGCCCCGACCCGCCGGGAACCGAACCCCCAGGCCTCTCGCGCGCGAGGGCCAGGGCTCCGACCACTGAGCTACGACATTGTCGGGAATCTAGCAGCTTGTAAAGAACGTGGGACATCACGTCTAGAGAACGTCGGGAGAAGGAGGGCGACGAGGTCGGTGATGGCCGACGTGATTATTAAGCGCGTCGTATACACAGGCAACAGAATCGTACACTCCGAAGGAAAGGGCACTTTATATATATATATGTACATATGTACACTGTTTGCGTGGGGGGAGGATAAGGAAACAAATCGCTTTTAAATTTAAAGTGCTTATTAATATCACATAGAATTATACGGAACATTACAGGTTTGAGCCCGACTGGTTCTCTTTTTTTTTAAAAAAGAAAATCCCTCTTTTTCCATTAGATCCTAAATTTTAGGCTAAGACTGGGTGGAATTTCGGGCGGAAGACATCAAACAATCTCTCCCCACTCCCCCCCACCACCCCCCCACCCACCCCCCCCCCCCGTCCAACTCCGAACACCAGTCCACCAGCCCTCGGTGAGGTGTGACTGTATAAGAGCGAATCTTTTGGAACACAGCGTGAGAACGGTGACGTTATTTGATGTACCCCCTTATCACGTCTTCGAGACGTCTCAAAGCACTTCACAGGATACACTATAAAGCGGAGTGACTGTGCATTTTGTGGGCGAAACGCGTCCCCCGCCCCCCCCCCCCTCCCACACCCACAGGTTGAAATTGCCCTTTAATAGAAACAGACAGAAAACCCTTAAAAGGGGCGTTGGGGTGGTGGGGGGTCTAACTTGCTGTGTTTCATATTGCGGGGTCTTAAAAGGAATCAGAGTGGTGCGAGGGGGGGGGGGAAATCCGGCATTAAACCCCACCGAAACCCCCACAGCAACTGCCCTCCTCCCAATGCGGAGTTTCGAGGGGCATTTTAACTGGAATTCCTTCTCAAGAGACACTCCAGAATAGCCCCCAACCCCCACTGTCGTTTTGTCATCCGGTTAAAGGCCCCCCCCATTGAGAAAGGATCCAGGGAAAGGGGCGGGTAATTGGCTTTGAGGTACGGATCAGCCGTGGTCTTCAAGAATGGCGGGACAGGCTCGAGGGGCTGAATGGCCTCCTGTTCCTACGTTCCTATGAGAAGATCGGCCGGGTTTGTAAACACGGATTTGTCAGCCGGGTGGTAACAGGCGGGAGGGAGGGTCACCGTGGGGGTGGGATTCGGAGCCACACAGCGAGTGGTTGGGGGGGGGGTGGGGGGTGGCTGTCAATTCAGACCAGTGTTCATAGCGCCATTGCGTGCTCCAGCGAGGGCGGGTGGTACCCGGGTACTGAGGCGGAGGTCAGAGCCCAAGGCAAGGAGCAGCTTGGGAGACAATGTGCGCGCGCGCGTGTGTCTGGGGTGGGGGCGAGGGATTAAAATGGAAGGAATGGAGATGAAGTGACCCGTTTTCCCCCCCTCTCCTCCCATCGAGTCGGTCACCCGGTTGACCAAAGCAAAAAGATTGAGTGACTCCACAGGCGCATCCGCCCACCATTATGCCGCGGTTTGAGATGAAGCCACGATGGTGAGAAGAGGTTTGAGATACATCACTCTGGGCTCTAGACTACCCTACAAAGGGGGAGTTAAGCGATCAGTGCAGGCGAGAGGTCCACGTACCATGACAACGATGCAGTGATCAGAGGAGTCGGGTGTAATGAAGACACGGCTTAGACGTATTTCTCAACGGTTTGGTTTTTTTTTTGCTGAGTGTCGAAAGCCACAACAACAAAAAACAGGCCATTAAAATTGCCGCTTCGACACACACAAAGGGATTCTTTTCTCCCAGTTTTCATATGATGCCAATCCTCTTCACCTTTCTGATTCCCCCTTCCCAACCCCTTCCCCACCTCCCACCCCCACCGCCCCCCTCTCTCTCTCTCTCTCTCGTTAAAGGCTGTTAAGACATTTTGGTATTTACAACGAGAGGTGTGTTTGGATCGTTTGGGGCGGAAATGTGATGTGAATAATAATCCTCGCGTTGTTAATCCAACGTGTTGTTGATATAGCGCCTTATCACGTCATTGAGAAGTCTCTAGAAAGAGGCAGCGAGAGAGAGGAGAGGCCGGGGAGGGAAAGGGGAGAGGAGGGAATCTCGATTTGCCTTCGGCCAAAGAGTTGAGCTCTCATTGCCCGACAAAAGAAAATGGTGTTAGTTTTCCCAGGTCACGGGGAGGTGGTGCCTGAGCAAACTGAGCCCTTCTGCTTTCTGTAGCCTCCGGCAATCCCCATATGCTGTCGTCTCACATCCTTTCTTTATCTTTAATCGTTGACCGCGCGATGATTGGAGCAGACACTCTGGGTCGCACGAGAAAAAAAGTCTGGCGTTACCTAACGGTCGTCTGGGGGTTGCGGGGGATACACACTGAAACCTGACCCTTTGTTGGGAGTTTACTTCTGCTTCCCTGCTCTCGAAAACAGGGCAGCCCAACTGGCGGCCCGCGGGCCACATCCGGCCCTCAGGCAGACTTCAGCTTCCCCTCCCCTCCCCACCCGCGCCTCCCTTCCGTGACCCGCAAATGCTACGTTACCGTCTTACGTTTCTGTCAGGGAAACACAAAAATATTGCTTACTGCGGGCCATTTCTCAAATAGGGCAGCCAAAAGGTTGGACCAATCGGCTATATATATATATATATATATGTGTGTGTGTGTATATATATATATTATATATCTCTATAGATAGATATATATTTTGTTGCTGTTGTTGGGGCCTTTTAGGGGCTGATGCGACAACAAAGCAGGCGAGTTACACGGTAACTTCCGTCTTGCTGTTCGTAGACAAGTGGCGTTGGGGTTGCCTGTATGGAAGAGCGGGGCTGAAGATCTCCGGGAGGTGCTCGATGCTGTATTGCCTCTTATTGGCGAACATATGCCTTCGCCCAATGGGTTGGGTCGAGTCCCAACCCTTGTAGCTGGAGTTGGACAGAGGTTGAGTGTTCGATTTGGCGACTTTGGTTTTCTGCGCCAGCGGAGCGGCGGTGGGTATGAACCCCCGGGGGTCTTTCAAGACCGGGGGTCCCTCCTTGCGGTGCTGGCTGACGGAATGGTAGAGGGAGGTCCCCGGGGGAGGTGGGAGGTCCATCACCGGGTAGCGCTTAGCGAAGAAGTCGTCCGTGGCCGTTTCCGCTGCAAAATAAGAATTTCGGGAGTGTGTGTTTCTTTTTTAAAAAAAAAACGTGATTAATAACCACAACCTCGCGTTTGACGCAGCGCCTTATCGCGCCTTCGAGACGTCTGGACAACTAAATCCACCGCGTGTCCCGTGGGCGCGAAGCCGATCGTTTCCAAGAGGCGACGGCCAAAAAAAAGAAAAGGCTGATTTCCGGTCATCTCTTACGGATTTCTTCGCAAGGAATCCTCGTGTGGAATTCCTGGTGAGCTCCACCACCCCCCCCCACCCCCCGGAAGTCCGGAAGAAACGGGCTGTTCTTCCAGAAACCTGGTGGCCACCGCCCCCCACCCACCATGTCCTGCCCAGGAATCGAACCCAGGTCCTCGGAACTAACCAACTATGCGAATGGTCTCCACGGGGAACGTCAGAGGTGCTATTCATTCCGCACTCACCTACTGCCTTCAGGGTGGCGTATTTATTGTACTCCTGGCCCTGGTGGGGTGCAGAGGCCATGCGATGGTTGATATTGTTGTGGGGGTGCGTGAGCCCCATCTGGGACACAAGGGGTGATGTGACTCCTGCATTATTCAGGTGCGGTTGTTCTGTGTGGAGGTGGGGGTGGGTGTGGGGGTTGGGGGGGGAATGGGGGGGAGGGAGAGGGACGGAGGGAGAAGGAATAAAAACAGACAGACACACTGAGCGAGGTTCAACATACGGAAAGTCCGGAGTTTCTGATCCCGGCGCGGATTCATTTTGGGGTCTGACCCTCGCGGGAACCCGTCACCGTTAATTAAGAGTACACCTGGAAAATCCTAGAGACAGACGGTCGGAATGGAATGCACTCTCTCTCTCTCTCCCTGGTTACCTAATTCCAGAGAGCCAAGGATTAGGGGGTTGGGGGTGGGGGGGAAGCCCCAGAGCCTCAAAACCCTAAGCAACGTTGACCGTAAAGGGTAGTGACCGAGCAATTAGAATGGGTAGAAAAAGGAAGTCCATTTTGCACGCAGCGATGCCCCGCAAACAGCCGGAAGAGAATGACCAACGTTGTCTGGGGGAATATTGACCGGACTCGATGACCTGACCTACACGACGCTTCGCCTTCTTCGGATGAAGTGCGGAGAAAGAAAAGGACTTGTACTTCTAGAGGGTCTTGTCGCCTCGGAAAGGTAACTATCGGTTGGGAAGAGACCGAGGGCTTCTCCCTGGGCCCTGGCCAACGACCCTTCTGGTGTATCGGACCAGTTGATGCTGACTCGAGGGACTTTGCCGAACGAAATTCCGCGGCCGCGGATCGGAAAACGTTATTCCCGATTCGCAAAGCTGGCGCAGCGAGAGAGAGAGAGCGAGAGAGAGAGAGCGAGAGAGAGAGACAGCGAGAGAGAGAGAGAGAGAGAGGGAGGAGAGAGAGAGAGAGACAGCGAGAGAGAGAGAGAGAGAGCGAGGGAGGAGAAAAAGAGCGATATAGACAGACAAGGGCAGGAGAAGAGAGACAAAACAGCCTCAGGCGCGACGGGAGAGCGAAGCGTGAAGCCGCTCGCTTTACACTTCCAAATCTAATTACAGAAGCCGGAGTTTTTTTTCTCTCCCTTTTTCACCCGTACACCCAATCAATTAAATCACCGAAGCAATTAGAGCCATTGTAACGAGACTCACTCACCGAACCAACCAGCCCGTGACAGCCCCGGACCCCCCACCGCCCGCCCGCCCCACCACCACCGCCACCCCCCACCCCTCGGGGTCGCAGCTAACCATTTCATTTCCTTCCTGCCTTCCTTCTTTCCCTCTGTGGCGTTTCCCCCCCCCACCCACCCCGTGGCTCAGCGGTCAGTGCTCTCGCGCACCCGCGAGCGAGAGGGTCCGGGTCGGGGCGAGAACTTTTGGGCAGGTTTCCTTACGCCACCCGCGTGCGTGCGCGTGCGCCCACGCGCCCAGGTAGGAACCCCCCCCCCCGGTTGTTGTTCGATCGGCGGATCGCGGGGGTCAAAGATTCCTTAATCGGTGCGCAATTGGGGTTTCGCCCCACAAAACGATGGCGTCAATTCACTTGGCCCGTGACGCGCTTGGAGACGGCTCGAAGGAGACGGCTCGAAGGCGCTGAGTCAAATGCGAGGATGATGATGACGACGATGATGATTACTTATTTCCACCGGGTGTGTTCTAACGGGTGACCAAAGAGTCGAGGTACCATTACGACGTCTCATAACGTCTTAAAGAAATAATAATAATAATAACCATTAATAATAAGAATAAGAATAACCTTGGAACGTGATCCAGGGCCTTCTCGCATCGTCGAGACGTCTCAAAGCGCTTCGCAGGATACACCGACCGCGCTGTGGAGTGACTGTGTATTTATTTCGAGAGGCTCAGAGGTCGGACAACCCTCGGTCGAAGGCGACCTTAGAAAAGGTTCTGGGATATCCGTTCTGCTCACCCGTAAAGCGTGCAGTCTGCTTTGTGACGCTGATTCAGGAGGGCAGGATGTCAGACAGGGACCTCAGCCCCATTGAGAAGGGGGACATGATCCTTCCCTTGAAGAGGCTCAGGGCATTTCCACTGCGCGTGAAGCTTCGGGGATATTTAACAGACTCCGACGAGAGGCACTGCAGAATCCTGAGCTGCCAACAAGGCCGGAGATGCTAATAGTAATAATAATAATAATAATAATAATATAATAGTAACGATCCTTGCATTTGGTTCAGCGCCTTTTCACACGTCTTCGAGGCGTTGTGAAGCGCTTCCCAGGATATTCCCGTCAGGTCAATCGCCTGTGAAGTTACCTTATCTCCTTATCTCGCCTTGCAGACGTCTCAAAGCGCTTCACGGGGTTTGCTGCAGAGCGAAGTGACTGCCTATTTTGCGGGCTGCGTAAGTGCTTGCTGTTAATCCGCTCGATAGGAATTACATCCTGTGAAGCGCTTTGAGACGTCGCGAAGACGCGACGAGGCGCTGTATCCACTGCGAGGATTGTTCTTGTTGTTATTATTTTTATTACGATGCGCGGTGCCTGCCCCGAATCCCCACCGTCGCTGTGGACGGGACGAGATAGCTCCCGATCGGGCGCAGAAATGAACTTGCCCTCCGGTCAGTTCTGCCGGATAATTCCATCGATCTCCTTCCTCCCGATAAATTAATTACTTGTAGTGACATTGCTCCTGTGGGGTCTGGCCAAACTGGGTCATCTGAATGCCCTGTTTGAGATCCCAACTGAGATCCAGCACCAACGTGTTGTCTTGGGTAAGTGTCCTACAGCTCAGCGGTCAGACCCCTCGCCTCACGAGAGAGAGAGAGAGACCCGGGTTCAATTCCCGACCGGACGAAACACTGGGCAAGTTTCCTTACTCCACACACGCACACACGTGTTCCTTAGCAATAGTCGATCGGACGACCGCTTTCCGGGGCTAACGATTTCCTCGAAAAAAATAATAATAGTAATGAATCGGTCGCTCAATCCACGGCCTTTTGTGGGGACGCCGGTGTCGGGCAAGAGGCGTGCGGAGCAAGGAAAACCTGCCTGAGGTTTAAGATCCTGCGGGGCTATTGGAAAGAACTTGGTTGGGGGGGGGTGGGGGGTGGGGGGGGGGGGATTGATCCTGGGGTTCGGACCGACGGGTAAAACCGGTCACTCGCGTCGTGGCGATGTGTGGGGACGTTGCTGTGCTCGAAATTGGCGGCTTCGATTCCGATTCGAAGCGCTTTGAGATGGGTCGGAGGCAGAGACGCAGTGGGGGACGCGCAGGAGACTGTTATTATTCCTACTTGACAGGTTGTCATTTACACCCCGAGTGCGCCAGCGCCTCTGTAAAAATAGCACTCCGAGCATCCGCACCAGGTTGAATGTCTACCGAGCTTTTTTTTTTCCCTCGTCGATATGGCAGCGAGCCACACGGATCGAGTGTCCCTTGTTCACAAATCCCCCTGTGGCCTGACATGACCCTCTTTTTCCCCCCCTTCCCCCCGAAGTCGAAAGAACAACCCGGAGAAATAAAAAAGGACTGAGGGGCGCAGACACCCCCATCTCTACACCCGACGGCACATCCCGCGAAGCGCTTCGAGACGTCTCGAAGACGCGATAAGGCGCTGCATCGAACGCGTGGGTCAATAGTGTCGCGACTATTATTATTTCGCCGCTGAAGAAAGCGCGAGTGATTGCTGATTGGATCCGAGAACGGTCACGTCAGGGAGCACGAAGCTGGAAAGCCAACGCGGGTCGAATTTTAGAATGACTTCCGGAACGCGCTCCGTAGTTCGGCTGCAAAACGTAACAGTCGCTGCGCTTTCCAGTAAATCCGGCGAAGCGCTGCGCGGTGCCTCGACGACCTGATAACCCGCTGCGTCGAAACGCAGAAATTATTATTTATTACGGTCAAGAAACCTGAGTCGGAGGCTCTTTCTAGTCATTGAAAGTTTGCCGCGGGACTGGGTTCCCATCTGACTTGCTCGTGCCTTCTTGACACAGCGCCTTATCACGTCGTCGGGACGTAGCTCAGGGGCGCGTGGAGTCAGGGAGCGGTTTTTTTTTTTTTTTTTTTTTGCAAAGCTGCGTATCTCGTGCGGCGTTTCGCCACCGATTCAAACCGAATTTTTGGCTTAAGAGGTCCTGCGAAACGGGCCCCGAATTTGGAAACTTTGCAGAGGGCTACTGCTCCGAGAGAGAGAGAGAGAGAGAGACGCAGAGCGAGAGAGAGAGAGGGAGAGAGAGAGAGATAGAGAGGAAGGTTGTGCAGAGATTTAGAGGAGCGCCGGAGCCAAGAGCTCTGTGTGGGCTGTGGGTTTGGCAGATTTACCACTGAGGAGACGTGTAGAAATGGCTGAGCCATGTGTTGGATTACGCACAGGTGAGCAGAGCACCTGCGGTGCGTGAGAAGCACAGACCGTGAAGGGTCTTTCTCTTTAATCTGAATTAACCATCTGATTCCCCGCTATTAACCCACTCCCTCTCCTGCAGTATGTGGGTTAGAGCGCTCGCCTCGCCAGGGAGAGGAGCCCGGGGGTTCGATTCCCGGGCGGGGCGTCAAAATATTACTATCATTATCTTATTAATATGAGTGAAATGCTTTCCAATCGTGAAAGGGAAGCGCTCCGGGGGTTAGTGAGGGGTGGGGGGTGGGTGGGCGCTGTAGAAATGCAAGTTGTTGTCGATTATTAACAGGCAGCGTAGTCCAATTGCCTGATCCTCCGAAGAAAATGGGAGCGGCGGTGAATTTGAGGTACATGCCTCAGCTTCAAGGTTTAACGGTGAGTTCCTTTCGTCATCGGGACGTCCATCCCCACGTCATGTGCGAAGACGTTAATCAATCTCAGCGTTCGCACTGATGGGAGTCTGTTCGAAATATCTATTACCCTCGACGAGGACAAAGTTATTCGGTTCTCTGCTCGTGCTCGAGGCTTGCCAATTTGATCTCTCTGCCCTTTGCTCACTCTTTGAATTAAATAACCTTCGCACGTTATCTCTCTCCATCGGGAGAACGTCTGAAAAGGTTTGAACGACGTCCCCGCTCGACCTCTCCGCGTTCAGCAAAGGAGCGGCAGCTCCAATTAGGTAATAACGGTCCTGACAGCCCTTGCGTTCGACGGAGCGCCTTAATCACACCTTCGACGCTCTCACTCAAAGCGCTTCGCCGAATCTACCGCCCAGTGACTGGACCGCGTACGTCGTGGGCGGCGAACCGCGGCGATTGCCGGCTCCCAACGGCGCGCGGCGGCGAACCCAGTCGTGGATCGAGCGGGCAGGTGTTTTTTTTTTTTTTCGGAGGGACGATTACCCCCAGGAAAATCGACTAACAACAGGGTTCCTACTTGCTGCTGGTGAACAGAGGCGCGCGTGGGGCGTGCGCGCGCGTTGTGAGGCGAGATACGGCGAAAGGTTTATTATTATCCGCTCAGCGATGTTTTTTTTTCCCCCCTTCACCCTTGAACTCCCTCTCTATACAGCAGCATCTGTCATTGCCTCTCTCTCTCTCTCTCTCTCTCTCTTTCTCTCTCCATTTCGTCAATAAAACTGCATCCGTTACACCAATAACGGTCCTGTCCACGCACCCGCACGGACCCACGCTCTTCTTCTCTCTCTCTCTCTCTCTTAAGCCCCCATCGTTTGGCCGTCACGCCTCCTACGGCGCTCCAACACGGCTCTCAGTGTCAATGTCAGAGAGAGGCACTGTCCTTCGGCTGAGACATTTGTCGTCTGTGTCTGATCTGGCGAGCATTAAAACTCCTCTGACGCTCTTGGAAAAAGAGAAAGGAGCTTTTCTCTCTCTCTCTTTCTCTCTCTCTCTCTCTCTCTCTCTCTCTCCCCCACCCCCAGCGTCCTGGCCACACAATTCCCCCCACCCCTACCCCCAGATTAATTGGTCATTCACGCTGCCTTTCTGTGATAAAATGGCTGATACACTCACGTACAACGACAGTCATTTACGCTTGAAATTTGCGTAAAAGCATTTTGACACAATAAGGGGTAAGTTCTCTCTCTCTCTCTCTCTCTCTCTCTCCTCTCTCCCTCTCTCTCTCATGCACTCTTTCTTTTTCTTTTCCTTCCTTCTTGGGAACATAGGAACAGGAGGAGGCCATTCAGCCCCTCGAGCCTGTGAGATCATGGCTGATCGGTACCTCCAGTCCGGTTACCTGCCCTTAACACCCTGACCCAACAAATATCTACCTATCCTTTCTTGCTTCCTTTCTTTCTCTCTCTCGATTTTTTCCCCCTTAATTGCTCTCGATATTTCTTCCATCCTCCCTACCTCCTTCCCTTCATCTCGCTATCCCCAATCCCTCTCTTTACCCCCCCCCTCCCTCTCTCTCGCTCTCGCGCTCTCCCCCTCTCTCGCTCTCTCTCGCTCTCTCTCGCTCTCTCCCCCTCTCTCTCGCTCTCTCCCCCTCTCTCTCGCTCTCGCTCTCTCCCCCTCTCTCCCCCTCTCTCTCGCTCTCTCCTCTCCTCCTCTCTCCCCCCCCCCCCCTCTCCCCCTCTCTCCCCCCTCTCCGCTCTCTCCCCCCTCTCTCCCCCTCTCTCGCTCTCTCTCCCCCCCTTCCCCCCTTCCCTCCCTCTCTCTCTCTCTGTGTTGCAGCCAGTTTGATCGTCACTCCGGGTACTGCGAAGTGTAAAGCTGCCATTCTAACCTCTCGTCCTGGCTCGGCAGGCGGTGCGCAACGTGTGAAACTCAAGCTGCTCTCTGCGCCCACAGCTTCTTGAAGGCACCAGAGCCACAATAATTAACAGACGGCCAAACGCTGGGGCGAGAGGACGCTGAGAGCCGATCGCCCCAACCATCCCAAGAGGTCCGAACGGACCGCCAGGGTTAGGGAAAGTGTTGCACGGCAAAAATTTCCGTCACGCCAACCTCACGCCATCAAACCCTGGTCGTAGGAAAGCTGGCAGGAAAGATTAAGGGCATCGCTTGCCCATCGTGGGAACCAGACTGATGATTTTTTTTCCCCCTTTTCTCTCTCTCTCTCTCTCTCTCTCTCTCTCTCTCTCCGGTCAGCCGGGTGTCTTGACACACGCGGAAACCCATCACCGGTTGCTTGAGAGTCTCCGAACCAATGTTGGGATGGTTGGCTCTCTCTCTCTCTCTCTCTCTCTCTCTCTCTCTCTCGCTCGCTCTCGCTCTCTCGCTCTCTTTCTCCCTCCCTCCCTCCCTCCGCCCCTCGCTTACCTAATTCCGAAACCTGGGAGCCCAGAGTGTGCGATGGGGGTTCTCGAAACGCTGCACAGGCGTTACTGTAAAGCGTAGTGACTGATGTAGATAGAAAGAGGCAGTTAATTTGCACACAGCCATGAAGGGAATGACCAATTTTATCTGGGGGGGGGGGGTAAAAAAACGGCTGACCGGACTCGATGACTTGCACGCCTCGGTGGACACTGACCTGCTTCAGGTCCTCCGCACTTCTTGCCCCACCGTTGGCAGTTGGACATCTATGCCCCCCCCCCCCCCCCCACCTCTGGGACGCGAAGGGCGCTATTCAAGCGTAATATGTCGTTGTCGTCGTTGTCGTTGTCATCGTTGTTGTTGCTGCTGCTGCCTCGCTTGTAGAACTATTGCTGACCCCCCCCCCCCACCCCGCCCGCCCCCCCGCCATTGCTAGCCCTCGCTCAGGCCTGCTTACCTGTGCCGCTCCTCGACGATCTGCTCAGGCTGTCGTTGATGGGCACCTGCACAGACCCAGGCACCCCGTCCCGTTCGATGTAGTCCATATTTCCGTGGCCCTGTTGCTTGAGGAGGTCAGTGAGGGCTCTGCAAAGAGAGGAGACAGAGAGAGAGGGGGGGTGTTAATAGCGAGAGAGAGAAGAGAGGCCATCAATAGCGCGAGAGGGGTGTGTTTCAATTAATATTAACTGTAATAATATTAGTCATTATAATCTTATATAATACTGATACATATAATATTAATTATTATATGGATCTTAATACATAACTACGAAATACCACCACTATAATACGATTAGTATAATTAATACTGTAGTACGATAGCGTTAATTATAATGCTGATAGTACTAGACCCGCTCCCCCCAACCCGCTCTTACCCCATCAGCCCTGCACGTGTTTCCATTGCACGTACCTATCCAATTCCCTTCGGAAAGTTAGCCCCTGAATCCGCTTCCAGCGCCCCTTCCTGGCTGTGCGTCCGAGACCGCAACAACTCAACTGAACAGCGCACTTTGGGGTTCGGATCAAGTAAAGAGGGAGACATTGATTGCACACGTCGACGAGGAGTCAGTCAGCGGAGTCGCACTGATCCGAAAGGGGGAAACAACCAACAGAGCAGAGATGTGGGGAGAGGAGATTTTATTTTTACGCACAGGCCACGTTGTTCGCCTGTCAACTGCCCGACCTGGAAATTGCACAGAGGGAAAATTCCTGTTCGTTTCGGACAGGGAACGAGATAAAATATCGGGAGGGGAGTAATGTGAAAGGCGGGAGAGAGGGAGAGAAGGAGGGAGGGAGGGAGGGAGGGAGAGGGAGAGACTCAGATACAACAACAACTTGCACTTATATAGTGTCCTCCACGCAGGGAGCTAATATAGAGGGAACGAGTGAGGAAAAGGGGGAGAGAGAGGGAGGGAGAGAGGCTGTTAGAGAGAGAGAGAGAGAGAGAGATATGGATGAAACCCTATGAATAAAAGAGGAAGACGAATGGGCAGATGAGCGCGAGACAGAATGAAAGAAGTAAATGATATCGGGGCCATAAATAAAATATATATTCCTGGGTGTGGGTGGGTGGGTAACGGTGGGTGAAGGGACAAATGAGACCCTCTCTCTCTCTCTCTCTCTCTCCCCCGGTTCTGGCTGCGCGATGCTCGACAGGTCATTTATTTTGGCTGCAATCTAATATGTCGCTCTGTAGCCTTTGAAGAGAGGAAAGCGATGGACCCCATTGGGGCTACTTTTGTCTGTCTGACACAGCCGAGGCCTGTGGGGTGAGCTGTGATGATGATAATAATATAATAATAATAATAATAATAATACTGCTTGCATTTGACACAGCGCCTTATCGCATCGTCGAAGACCTCTCAAAGCGCTGTCTGGGGTATAAAAACTTCGAAAGGCGCCGTAACAACTGCAGAGATTCTGCGAAGCGCTTCGAGACGTCTCGGAGACGTGACGAGGCGCCGCATCAAGTGCAAGGATTATTATGTGTAATAACGCATAGGCGTGTGAGTGCGGGTGTATGTTGTGCGCATGCGTGTGTATTTCTTTGTTATGCATACTTGTGTGTATTTGTATGTGCGTGTGTATGTGTATATTTGTGTGTGTGTGTATATATTTGTGCGCTTGTGTGTGTGTATATTTGTGTGTGTGTATGTGTGTGTATATTTCTGTGTGTGTATGTGTGTGTGTATATTTGTGTGCGCGCGTGTGTGTGTATTTGTGTGTGTGTGTATTTGTGTATGGTGTGTATGTGTGTATGGTGTGTGTGTGTGTATTTGTATATGGTGTGTATGTGTGTATGGTGTGTATGTATGTGTGTGTATTTGTCTGTGTGTGTATGGTGTGTGTGTGTGTGTATGGTGTGTATGGTGTGTGTGCGCGTGTGTGTATGTGTGTATGGTGTGTGTGTGTGTGTGTGTATGGTGTGTATGGTGTGTGTGCGCGTGTGTGTATGTGTGTATGGTGTGTGTGTGTGTGTATGGTGTGTATGGTGTGTGTGCGCGTGTGTGTATGTGTGTATGGTGTGTGTGTATGGTGTGTATGGTGTGTGTGCGTGTGTGTGTATGTGTGTATGGTGTGTGTGTGTGTATGGTGTGTATGGTGTGTGTGCGCGTGTGTGTATGTGTGTATGGTGTGTGTGTGTGTATGGTGTGTATGGTGTGTGCGCGTGTGTGCGCGGCTGTGCATAAATATATTGCCAACAAACTCCTTCACAGCAATTATTCTCAGGTGTGGTGACATTTGTCGGCAACAACGGCAGAGACTCAGTAGACAGCAACGTCCCACATTGAGGAGAGCGAGTAATGTATCTGGGGATTGATGGCCAGGACACCAGGGGGTAGGGGGAAACTCTCTCCCTCCCCACCACCCCCTCTTTTTTTATTAAACGTTGCCGTGGGATCTTTAACACCCACTTGGACAGACACAGATGGGACCTTGGTTTGACGTCTCCCCTAAAGGACCACCTCTGACAAAGTACAGTCCCTTCCCTTCGCTCCCAAACCCCCCCCCACCCCACCCCGTACCGTAGCCAGGACACCTTCCCACCCCATCCCACCCCTTGTCCAGCCCCGCGGGGAGTCAGTCTGGACGACGAGCCCCCCCCGGAGTGGGGCTTGGGATAGAGAGAGAGAGAGAGAGAGCGAGAGCGAGGGAGAGAGAGAGAGAGAAAGAGAGAGAGAGAGAGAGAGATACTGAACGTATGTAGAGAAGTAAACGGAGATATACACAGAGGACTCAGATTGACGGAGGGATAGATTGAGGTGGACTGACGGAGAGAGAGAGAGAGAGAGAGAGGGGGGGGGAGGCAGCTGGACGGAGATGTGAGCTGTTGTGGATTCACGCAACGCGACACTTGCTTTAGAATCGTAACCCACTTGATATTTGTCACTTAAAAATAAACACAGGCCCTTCCGGGCACGTTGCATGCGCGCGGGCGGGTGCGCGTGCAAAGGGGCTGCCGCGTTCGCTTATTATACACACAGTCGCGACGCTTTGCCGTGTATCCCCCGTGAAGCGCTTTGAGACATCCTCCGGCCGGGAGAGGCGCCGGGACCGGAAGCCGGCGTTACGAAATCCGCCGTGTACGCGTCTGTGTGAGGACGCGCTCGTGTATCTGTGTCTGTGTGTGGTGTGCGCGTGTGTATATGTGTGTGTGCATGTGTGTATGTGCCCGGGAATCGAACGCCGGTCCTCCCGAAGGCACAGTCGAAGAGGAAGGTCTTTCTTAGACGGGACTTGGAGGAGGCAAGAGAGCGGGGTGAGGCGGGGGGATTGAGGGACGGAGGGTGGGGGGCGGGGGGGGTGGGGGGGTGGGGTGGGGCAGAGATGCAGCTAAACAAAGTCACACTCTGAGCCCCCACTCTGAGTACGTTGGCTTTTTCCTCTCGTAACAGCTGGTTCGTGGGACACGGACGTAACTCAGACGGGGTTCAGGGCATTAATAGTTAACGCAGTCGCTATCACCCCCATTGCCTTCGTTGCAACGCACGTGAGACCCAACACCATTGGTGTTAATGAACACATCACACGTTCCAATTGACGCCCTTAGAGAGAGAGAGAGAGAGAGGGGGGGGGGGTGGGGGGTGGGGGGACTGTTGAAATTCCTCCCGTCAGACCACTCGCTGTCTTACAATGTAATGTTGCGCAGAGCTTTACTCTCTCAAAATTGACCACCGCAAAATACCCCCCAGTCACTACGCTTCACAGCGTATCCTGTGAAGCGCTTTGAGACGTCCTAACGACACGGCGGAGGTTATCTCCGTCCCCGTCCCCCCTCCCCCCCCCGGCTCCGAGCAGGAAAAAACCCGGCGAGCGATATTCCTGGGGGCGCTCGCCTACGGGGTCGGTTACCTCGGCCCCAGGCCTCGCGCCGGCCGGGCCGACGGATCTCGCTCGAGCGTTCCCAAAATGGGCGAACGTTCCTCCTCCAATCCTCCCCTCCCTCCTCCCCTCCCTCCCTCCCCGTCTGTCCGTGAGAGCCTAAGGTGTTCGGGCGCGTGTTGGATCAGGAGGGGAGATAAACGCAGCCGAGCGATAAGCGCAGATGACCGATAATCCCGGTATCTCGAGGACGTCTCGGAGCGCCCGGCGGGATACCCCGCGCGGTGGACTGGCCGTGTGCTCTTGTGGGCGGAAGGCGGCGGGGGAACTGCGCCCGGGTGGAACGAGCCACCCAATTATTGCTATCGTATTTTTTTTGGGTGGGGGCGGTGGGGGGGGGAGAGAGGAGGGGGGAGGGATGTCCTCCACCCGGAAAAAGCGATCAGCAATCGATCAATAACTCTGAAGGGAATCGGACGTATATTCTGTGGACGAAAGGCGCTGCAGCAAATGTAAACTGTTGATATATATATATAATAATATATTATAATACATACATATATTATTATAGTATATGTATATCTATACACACACATATGATCTGTTAAACACACTCTTGATGTGTATATATATATATATATAGTCCTCAGTGTGTTCCCCTGAGTCTCAGCAATAAGATTTCAGCGATTCCTTTGCTTCCCGGATTCCGTTGCTCGCGATCGCACATATTATTATGGATTTACACACTGCGGAGGGCACCGACTCTGTAACCTTGTCGGATCCCCGGAGTCTTGCCTCCTTATAATTGGCGTTGAATTCTCCGTTGAGAGCTGAATGTGAGACAGGCGAGGAAGGCACTGTGCGTCTTCAAGGGGACGACGGATAAACCTTGACTCGTCTGACCCTTGAAACACTTCCCGCTCACAGCCACAGAGCGATTGAAATCCCCAGCCCTTTCCTAGTCACTCTTAATAATGATAATAATAATAATAATAATAATAATCTAAGCGTGAGTCCCTTCCGCCTGTGCCAGGAATCCACACCAGGGCTTTTGGCAGCCGTGTAAATAGCGTGTACTGTGCAAAGAGGCAGTGCCTCTGCGATCCGTGTGCCCGGTGACACGCTTCACTCTGACACGCGCTCCGTCTGAACACGTTAAGCACGCGCCAACGTTCAGCTCTCGATCCCGTTTGCTTTCGCTAACTGACTGCACGTCCGTGCGCGTGCGCGTGTGCGTGCACGTGCGTGTGCGCGCGTGCGGTTGGCTTCGTTGCCCCAGGGAACACGCCGGTGTAACTCCCTCGTGTCCTGACTGACAGCCCGTTACCCCGTCCAGCCCCTGACCCGCCCCAGGACCTCACGCCGAGGAACGTAGAAACATCCTCGCGCTCGACACAGCGCGTTATCGCGTCGTCGAGGCGTCCGAAAGCGCTTCGCGGGACAGACACACTGTGAAGCGCGGTGGCTGCGTGTGTTTTTGTGGGGGTGTGGAGTGAGGAAACCGCCTCGGGTGGGAGAGGGAGAGAAAAAGATATGTAAAGAGGGAGGAAAGAGTGGAATATATAGAGAGAGAGAGAGAGAGAGAGGGAGAGAGAGAGAGAGAGAGAGAGAGGGAGAGAGAGGGGGGGGTTGGGGAGAGAGCGAGAAAGAGCGAGGGGAGAGATAGTGAGAGAGAGCGATAATGAGAGAGAGAGAGAGAGAGAGAGAGAGAAATAGAGAGAGAGTCTATTGATATGCAAAGCCTATTTACTGTTGTGTCCTCAGCTACGGTTGTGCCAAAGGGATGAATGACCCAATGTACAGAGCATTCGCAAAGGACGAAGAGCGAGACAGACTGCACTGGAGGCAACATATCGCAGGCTTAACCCCCCCCCACACCCCCCCCACACCCCCCCACACCCCCCACCCCCCCCCACGCTCAGATTTTCTCCCCAGTCAGTTCTCGGGAGGTCTAACATTCAGAGAGTTAATTTCGCCCACAAATATACGGTCGGTTCACGTTGCGGTCTATGCCGTGAAGCGCTTTGAGCCGTCAGGAAGACGCGCAAAGCGCTGCAGCGAATGCGGGGATTATCATTCCTCCTGTTGTTATTAATTTGACGGCGTTTCGGCTTGAAACACAGCCCCGAAAACATCACGCGGAAAGAGACGCGCACACTGAGAGAGAGAGAGAGAGAGAGAGAGAGAGAGAAGAGAGAGACAGATGGGTGTGAGAAACCAAACATAAAGAGCCTAACGTGGAATGTGACGGCAACAAATGGCTATCACATCGGGAGGGCGTCCCGCGGCGCTTCAGGAGATATCCGGCAAAGCGTAGTGACTGTGCGTTTGGTGGGAGAAACGCGGCGACCAGCGTTCCCGGGAAACAGTCGGGGAGTGAGCGACGGAATTAACATCACCGCAATTTTTCAACAGGACTCCAATTTGCAACGGGAATCGAACCCTCGCTCCAACCGCCGACACCCTACAGGACTCCATGATCATCATCATCATCATCATCATAACATTAGCAACAACAACTTACACTTGTGCAGTGACTTCACGTTGGATAGAGGTCCCCAAAGGGGTGCACGGGGAAAGCAACGGACAAGTAGACGTCTGGGGTGGGGGTGGGGGTGGGGGTGATGGGGTTGGGGGGGGTTGGGGGGAGTCTCTGCTTTCCTACCTGGACATGTTCATCTCGGTCTGGGGTCCCTGCGACTTCTCCAGGCCCAGTTTGGTGAAGATGCCCACGAGGACCATGATGGCCACCACCCCGCAGATGATGTAGACGATCATGTTGGTTCTGTCCTCGTCCGGGTCGTCCCGGGGTTCCTCCACCTTGACGGGGGGCTTGCCGGTGTTGGCCCAGTTGGGGGTGTCGTAGTTGGTGCAGGTGCTCTGGTCCAGGCGGTCGTGGAAGAACTCGCAGCAGAAGCGATAGCCGCAAGTGCCGCAGCAGTGGAGGTAGGTGCCAGCGTTGCAGTTGAAAGGGGGGTCCCACTGCCCCATCACGTCGTAGTAACCCCGGCACTTGTCCGTGTTGCTGTCATCCTCCGTGACCTCCTCCGACGCGGGGGCCCCCGTGGCGTTGGGGGAGTAGGTGGTCCCGGCTTCTCCCGGTTGCCCCCCTTTGCTGCTGTGAGCCCCGGCCCAGATCAGGACCTGCCCCGTCAAAATGTAGCCCCAAAGTCCCACCGTTAGGCGTAACTCCATGGAGTCACGGGGTGCGGGCCGGGGGGGGGTGTGGGGAAGGGAGGTGAGGTGCTGCGGGGGGAGGTGGGGGTGGGGTGGTTGGGGGGTGGGGAGGGCTCCGACGGATGGACGGACGGTGACTGACTGACTGGTTGACTGACGGACTGAAGCTGAGTGATCGAGTCTCGAGTCCGTGGAGAAGTAGCACCGAACAGATTCCTTTCTCTCTCTCTCTCTCTCTCTCTCTCGTTCCTCTCGTTCGAGCGCTTCCAGGACCCCACCGAGCGCGAAGGGCTCTACATAAATGCAAGTTGTCGCTGCTGTTGTCGTTCCTCCGAGTCCCCTCCGAACTCCGCTGGGAAAGCGAGATTTTTTTCAACCTTCAAAGCTCCGCCCGCGTGTGCGTGTGCGCGTGTGTGTGTGGGTACATATGTGTGCGCGTGCGTGCGTGTGCGCTTGCGTGTGTGCGCGCGCGTATGCGTGCGTGTACATATGTGTGTGTCTGAGCGACCATGAAACACAGTCCCGCTTCCCCGACGTTCCTGATTTTCTGTCGCGCCAAACTGCAGGGAGAGAGGAATAAATCACATCACTCACTGTATCCTGTGGTTATAGGACGACACGTACACACACACACACACACACACACACGCGCGCACACGCACACACGCACACACACGCTGCCGGTCAACGTCACGCCAACACACAGTAACACACGCCTCGCGTCCGATACAGCGCCCGATCGCGTCGCCGAGACGCCTCGAAGCGCTTTCGCGGAAGCTGGAGGAGGAACGCGGAGCGACCGCGTGTGTCTCGCGGGCGAAGGGCGGCTGCCAACCGCCCGCAGCGGCGTCCCACCATCGAGCCGCGGAACGAGTGACCTCATTTCATTTGGTGGGGGGACGGGGAGACGGGGAGACGGTTAGCGAGGAAAACCGCGCAAGAGGGAAACTCCCTTTTCTTTTCCAATTGGCGCCGCGGGAGATATTTAACGTCCACTTGAATCGGGACTGTGGTTTAACGTCTCATCGGAAAGACAGGATCCATCACACCTCATAACCATCAAACAGCCTCAAACCTGTAAGGAATTAGATGAGATTACTCAGGCGACACCCAATTGGCCTCCGGGTTTCGCCCGCAAAATACTTGGCTTCGCCGCGAGACGTCTCGACGACGCGATGAGGCGCCATATCGAACGCGAGGGGGGTACCGGGAGTGTTACGGTTATTTTACTCCCCGTCCCCCCCAGCGACGGCGGAGACCACTACATCAGGAGGAATTGGTCAGGACACTTGGAGAAGATCCTTTCTCTGTGACGGAAGCCTCTCCGTCCCACTTGAGCGGACACACAGACGAGACAAGAGCTCTGTTTGGCTTCTGAGGACCTCCCGGGTCGAGGGGGTTTGAACTCACAACAGTCACTACACTGCTTGAGTTTCCTTAATCCGGGACACTTTACCGAGCAGCGGTGAGCCGATTGGATGCCGGGCGGCTTTCGAGGGGGTAACAACCCCTCCGCAAAGGCGGTCGCTCGCTCCACGGCCGCTGTGCTCAGTTGTCAGCCACGCGGCGATACTCCTGATCCTCGCGCTCGTTGCAGCGCCTCATCGCGTCTTCGCGACGCCTCGAGGCCCTCCCGCGGGATAGTGAGTCGCTCGTCTGTTTGGCGCGAGCCCAAGCCTCCTCGCCGCTGAGCGAGCAGAGCGCACGGGCTGCTCAGCCCGTCGCCCCTCGGGCGGTGAACTCCGTCGCCATCCACCTGCCGCCCCAAGCGACACCGGCGCGGGCCGTGCTTCGCTGGGCGCGCCGTGCGCCAACAGCCCTCGCCTTTTCACGGAGCGCCTTTCGCATTTTATCTGTCGGCCCCGGGAAAGGGAGAAAGAGAGAGAGAGAGAGAGAGAGAGAGGGAGAGAGAGAAATGTCCTTCTCTTTTCTAACAGCTCCGGGGGGGGGTTCTTCACCGTCCACCCGCGCAAGCAGACGGGACCTCAGTTGGTACTATAGCGAAGGACGAGGCGTTCTTCGTGTCTGATAGACATCTGCGTAAGAGCGAGGGGTGGGGGTGCGGGTGGGGGTGCGGGTGGGGTGGGGGTGGGGGGGAGTGGGACTGGATGTGTGGCTCTTTCTCCCTCCGCGCTGTAATGTTCTATGATTCCGTAAGAGCGCAAGTGCTGAGGAGGGAATTTACTGTCGAGCGTAGTGACTGTGTGTTTCGGAGGCAACTGCGCGCGAGGCAGAAAGCCACAAATAAATGTGAACAGATGTTTTGTCTGGAGGATTGACAACCGGCGCACCAGGAGATGGGAGTACAAAGAGAATGTGTTGGTGCAAATGCAAAGCGAGAGAGACATAGAGAGAGAGAGAGAGAGAGAGAGAGCGAGAGAGAGGGGGAGAATGACAGACTGGTGGGAGGGGGGGGGGGGGTTGAGAGGTGGGGGGGTTGAGTGAGAGAGAGAACGTAAGCGAGAGAGAGAGAGAGAGAGAGAGAATGAGGGGTGGGTGGGGGGAGAAGGAAAGAGTGGGGAAAAAAGAAAGAGCGAGAGACAGACAGACAGACAGACAGAGAGAGAGAGAGAGAGAGAGACGGGTGGGGGTGGGGGGGGTGGGGGGGGTGGGGGGGGTTGGAAAGAGAGTAAAAAGAGAGATGGGGGAGAAGGAGCGCCAGAGATGTGTCTCTCGCGGCGAAGTCCTAACGCTGATTTTATGCCGTGGTTCCGAATTGATCGCCGCGGCTGTTGGTGTGGGGGGGGGGCACTGCCCTGTTTTTGCCCCGCGGTCGACCCACTTTACCCCCGAGCGGTCCGCGACGTCTCGGACCGCGTGCCGAGGCGCCGGAACCAAACGCGCATGACAACAACAACAACAACAACAACAAGATTCCAGTTATAAAGCGCCTTTCACGTCGGGAGGACGTCCCGAGGCGCTGGACAGTTGGGTCGGGACCCGAGCATTGGGGGGGAAATGGTCAGGGTGAGGGGAGGGAAGGGAGGGAGCGAGGAGGGGGGGAATGGTCAGGGTGAGGGGAGGGAGGGAGGGAGCGAGGAGGGGGAGATGGTCAGGGTGAGGGAGGGAAGGGAGGGAGCGAGGAGGGGGGAAATGGTCAGGGTGAGGGAGGGAAGGAAGGGAGGGAGCGAGGAGGGGGGTATGGTCAGGGTGAGGGGAGGGAAGGGAGGGAGGGAGCGAGGAGGGGGGAAATGGTCAGGTGAGGGGGGGAGGAGGGAGCGAGGAGGGGGGAGATGGTCAGGGTGAGGGGAGGGAAGGGAGGGAGCGAGGAGGGGGGAAATGGTCAGGGTGAGGGAGGGAAGGGAGGAGCGAGGAGGGGGAAATGGTCAGGGTGAGGGGAGGGAAGGGAGGGGCGAGGAGGGGGAAATGGTCAGGGTGAGGGGAGGGGAGGGAGGAGCGAGGAGGGGGGAGATGGTCTGGGTGAGGGGAGGGAAGGGAGGGTGCGAGGAGGGGGGAGAGAGTCGAGAGGGGAGCTGAAGGCTCGGTCAAAGACCCTCACGGTGGAACCTAACGCCTGGTCAGGGTCGTCGAGGAGCCTCGAAGACACCGTAAAGTGCCGCCACTGCGTCTTTACGCGTCTCTCAACGCCCGACGAGTGCCAGGAACGTGATCGTGACTGTCGTCGGCCATTTATTTATTACTGCGACGCAAATCCCCGTTAATCCCCCTTCAAGCGAGCGTCTCGGGCAGGAGTCGCCGCGAGCTGCAGTGTAGTGACTGGGTGTTTCGCGCCGGACGCGGATCGTTGCCGGGGGTCCCCACTTGGCTGTTTTCACCCTTTTATCTCTCGATCCAATTGCGAGTCGTGGTTGACGCGTTGATAGGGATGTAACGCTAATGTCCTGACTGGGTATATCAGTGGCGGATTGGGGGGGGGAAAGGTTGGTGAAAAGGTTAATAATAATGATAATAATAATAATAATAATAATAATAATAATAATAATAATAATAATAATAATAATAATAAAAGCCCTTCCCACGAGGGCTTTGTCTTGTTAACCGGAGCCACGTTAAGTGCCTTTGCTGACAATTCCTCGTTGGAACCCGTTTCCAAAGGATTTTAAAGGGGAAAAAAAAATACCAAATCCTGCGCCGTCTTAAATTAAATTTCAAGGCAACGGCTTTCCAGTGGTGTCGGAGCAGTGCCTCAAGTGTCCGGTGAGCAAAGGGCGTCTGAAGCCAACTCTCTCTGTTGATCTGTGGCTCAATTTCTCTCTCTGCCCTATTAATCGTTCATCCGACTGCTCTCTCTCTCTCTCTCTCTCTCTCTCTCTCTCTCTCCGTCTTTCTCTCTGGTCTTCACCTCCTCCGTCTCTGTCACTCCTTTGCTCTCTCTCTCTCTCTCTTTCCGTCTTTCTCTCTGGTCTTCACCTCCTCCGTCTCTTTCACTCCTTTGCTCTCTCTCTCTCTCTCTCTCCGTCTTTCTCTCTGGTCTTCACCTCCTCCGTCTCTTTCACTCCTTTGCTCTCTCTCTCTCTCTCTCTCTCCGTCTTTCTCTCTGGTCTTCACCTCCTCCGTCTCTTTCACTCCTTTGCTCTCTCTCTCTCTCTCTCTCTCTCTCTCTCTCTCTCTCTCCTTAATCCCCCCCTCGGCCTCTGTCGCTCTCTTGCGCGCGGGATCCCACCGGGGCTGACCTCCCGGTTTGTGGGAGGCGGCCGCGCGCGGAACGCCTGCCGCGTTCGCCCACGAAAACGCGCGGTCACCACACTGCGCGGCGATTATTGTGAATCGCTCTGAGGACGCTGGACAAGTTCTCGGCTTTCCTTTCGCTCTCCGTCTTGTAGACGTCTCTGTCTGTCTCTGCCTCTTCACCGCCACAAAGCATTAATTCAGATTTTTGAGGCACTATTGATGCGGCGACGGTACGAATCAAAGAGTCATCACTCGATCACGTTAAACAGCTCTCGCTATTACGGAGCTCTATTTATCTTTCTCCTGCGCTTCCGCCCACACCAACACCTCTAACGCAAGGAAACTCACTCTCTTATTTTGGCCCCAAAGAGGCAAAGAAGGTGCCC